TTTATTATAATAAATCTTCTCACTTCTGGGCAATTTCCTCCAAAGGTATTGAAACCACTTGTATATTTGTAGTGACCAACATTTTGCATCAAACCACAATTACTGTATCTTTATAGTGACCAACATTTCTTCTTTTCTGATAACTATGAGGGTAATTGATTTTTTCCATTGTTACGACACTTTCCCTGTGATGTCTTCCCTGATTTTTTTTTCATTGTGAAATCATTCTTTAGGTTTTAGCTAAGGAATTGGATTTCACCCACATCTTTCCACAGAGGAGTGTGTTCCACCCATTCATTCACACAGGAGTATATTTCTACTGATCTATACCTACTCCTGTATCTTTTCTTGGCTTCTCTATCGATTTTTCTTTTTTCTTTTTTTATTCAGAAGTCACTGGATCTTTCTGTTCTTATACCAGCTCTGTATTCTTTGACAGACCAAGAAATGTGGACTTAGAAGGGGCCATTTAGATCAATGAATCCAACCCATTATTTATTGCTGGAATCTAAATCGATGTATCCTTGTAGGAAACCAGCATCCTTTAGTTTTCCAATATTACTTTTCTTGTTAATATACAAATTCTATTATTTTTTAAAGATATTGAACTATGTCTAGAATATAGTGGTTGACATTTACTAAGTTGTTTGTAACACTATTTCTGTTCTGGTCTAAGACTGTAATTTTTAACATATTTAAAGAAGTCCTTGGAGCATTCTGACCCCATCTCTAGAGTTCCAGGTTACGTCTGTGTCCTCTTCCTTTGTGACCTGTTCTTTTTCTACCACCTCGCTTTTTGTTTTTAGGTCTTAATTTTTTTGTACAGATATGTCAGTTTGTGTTTTTGTTTTTGTTTTACTTGTCTGTTTCTTTTTCTTGTTGGAATTGTTTTCAGTTGTGCTTTTATTGTCTCACATTTTAGGATCTTCCACCCATCTTGAGCCCCTTTTCCCACTAGCTCGTCCTGTCTTTGAATCCCACTTTTTACTACACTGAATTCCTTAACAGATTTTCTTAAACTCCAAGACAAGCATTCAGTCACAGACTGTTTTAGTTTTTATTTATACTGAGAATTCAGTGTTACATACTTACTTTCCCCTAATCTTCTTGTACCTTTTTCTGAAGGAGAAAGTTATCATCAAGAAAAGTCAGAGATTTCCTTGAAGAACTATGCTTGGCAGAATGTTTCTCCTAACAGATGTTGAGGTAATGAAAAGTTTTACTACTGTTTATTGAAAAGGAGCTTCACGGACTGTTGTTTTATGAGGGATCTCGACGAAAATGTCCCAGTTTCTGAGTGCAAATATTGGTGATAATATACTACTAGAGTTTACCTTGTCTTTTGCAAATGGCAATATATATAGTTTGGTTGCATTTTGTCCTCTTAGTCCTGTGAAGTAGGTTAGGTTGGGACATAAGAAGTAGTTACTTGGTTTGAACATGAGCTATCTCATCACTGGGACACCTTCATTTAGCATATATTGATGAAGATTCTCAGTCATCCAGGTGGAATTATCTGGAGATTGAGTCATGGCAACTGGACTTCTTTTCTTTTGGTTAGATACGTTTCGCTGCTTGTCCAAGCAGCTTCTTCGGTCTAGAAAGTTGGTTGGGGGGGGGCATAAATGTCT